CAAGCTTCTGATTTTTCACTCAAGTGGATGACCATGTGATCCCAATATACATATTGGTTCAGCTGGTGGAAATTTTATTTGACAAACCAGTGAGCAATACCTATTTTGGTTTGGAAAATGAAATTTATCATAATTGAAGACCAAATGGCTTTAGTAAATGGGGAAAATTTTGGCAGGGGGTAAGATTGGGCTGAAGATTGGCCATTCTCAAACCAGAAAATAAGTATGGCATGTTATCATGCCATGGCTGTGCTGGCATGAGTCACAGAAGGCACTGCATCATGACATACCCCATGCCACTGACTCACTGGAGGAGCTCATCTTTCCCTGTCAGTAGGAGCATCACTTGTTTGGTGTCACTATTAGTTGCATGTGCCTAACATGAAGGAAACCTTCAATTCTTTTCAAATATTTACTTATAAACTCCAGCTACAAATTATAATATAATCAACCCATTTGCCCTGGATTTATGTTCTGTCCCCTGTAGTTTTTTGTGAAATTTATTACACACAGATGGCTCCACATGTGCTCAGCCAGCAAGGAGGCCTTAGTTACCGATCCTAATTTTCCCATTCCTTAAATTGGCAGGAAAATGACTCTTTCTTATTAATACCATTGCTGTCGATGTTATGATATTATGATTAAAAAATGTCACTGACATATTTTACACAATGAAATGATACAAAAGACACTTCCCTAAAGTGAAGGAAAAGGGTAAACAGGTGAGATAGGTAGTTCTGATAAACTGGCTATTTGGTGATTAAGAACTTGTAGAACCATCTATGTGTAAATACAATAAATAAACATGTATCACAGTGGGCATGGCATGTATTCTTGCCACATGGGGTGAATGGGTTAACCAGAAGCAAAAGGGGATACTACTGAATAACAGCTGCAAAAAGCATCCAACTTTCTTGGTATGAGCTAGTTTCTCCATGGGTACAGACACTTAATTTTCCTTCTTTATTCTTACCTTGTGAATTATCACCTAGGATTAGCTTCATCTATATATAACAATAAGTGGTAAGAAAGATGTACTTTATGTATATATCTAAAACCCTAACAAAACAAAACAAAACAAAACAAAACAAAACAAAAAAACACTAAATCCTAATAAATAACTTAACTCCAATAAACATATAAAGGAAGAATATGACCAACCTAATAAATAATCAAAACATCCCATTGTGTATATTTGCACTGGAAAGTAGAAGTATTAATAACAAAAAACATATAAACAAAAAGTAAAAATAAATCTCAATAATAACAACAATATGCTCTTTTACCTCCCAGTATTATTAATCGCATTTCAACTTTCTTCTCTCAGATTTCTTTTCAACAGTACTAGTATTACCTTGAAGGCCACAGGGCTGTCTGTTGGGTTAGTCAGTAAAATATTTGTTGAAGCACCAATTCGGCAGTTGCTGAACAGCAACTCTTCGCTTGGGTCGATATCTATGATGGCCTCTGCAATAGGAGAATGTTTATTATAGAATCTACGGTATAATGCCTGAAAATTCTAAAGAGGGGCATACAAACATTAATGTGATTCGGTAAATACAAACACATAAAATGCAATAAAATACAATAAAAAATAAACAGAATACTTATATAAATGTGGACTTTATGTAAGCTTTATCTTTTTTGTCAGTTACTGCTTCATTTCAAAATGCTACAAGATTTAGATTTATACATTACCACCAAACTGCTGTGTGTACATATATTAGATATTTTTAATGACAATGAAGATGACATGGAAGAAAGAAAATGAAAGAAAATCAAGTTGAGATTTAACAATACCAACAAGAAAACGAATTGTATATTCTCAACAGGAAGATCTTCCTGTAAAGATAAAGCCAGAGATTTGTTTGAAATTCACTCATTCATTCCCAACAGAATGTGTTCATTCTCTCTTAATCCCCTGAATCGTAAATACTATGAAACCTCCTCCATATATTGCTTCAAATCAAAATCCCATTACAGCAGAAACTCTGTTTTATCTCATATATATAAAATCTTATCTCATTTATCAATCCCTCCCATCTGAAAAGAACACTTTCAAGTTGACCTTATAAAGCAATACTCTAACTTACTTCCATTAGCTGATATTGTGCGCCTAATTTGTGGTTTGCCCCTAAGAGGTGACGCAGGCGGCTGAGCACTGCCCTCGGCAAAGTGGACCTGAAAAAGTTTATTGAAAGTCAGGTTTGTATTACACAGAAAACTTCCTCATAATCTATTCACAAAAACTGTCAACAAAATGAGACTCTTTAAGCAGCATTAGCTGAATAAGGAAATGCAAATAATAAAAATAATAGTTTTCAATAATAAGAATAATAAGAATAGAAAGGAATGATAGTAATAAATCAAAATGCTAATAAAAAAGACCTCACCTTCCGTGCCTCTATGTCTCCGTTGGCAACTGGCACGAAGGCATTGGCTGCCTCGGGCTCAAATTGGTACTCGTAATTGTCAGTGCCTCCCCAGCTGACCAGGGCTTGGTCAGGCTCCACAAACTCTTTCAGAGACTTCTTATCGACAAATTTGATTTTCTCTATTGACTTTGGGGGCAGCCATGTTTTGATAATCTTCCACATAGCTAAAACAATTTGATAAAAAAAGGGTCACTATTGAATAGTCATTTCAAAAAAAGAAAAAATAGAAAAAAATCTGTGCTTCCAATTTCCAGTTCACCTTACAACATATCATCATGCTTCAGATCATTGGCAATATTATAATTTAAATATCACATGAATCTACTGTCTTTTCAAAAGCTACCAGTAGATAATTTTGCTCCCTCCTAAGCACTAACATTTTGAAAACCCTCATTTGGCTTCCTTCTCATTTTCTCTCTCATATATGTTCTTCAACTTAACCACACAAGTACTCAATCTGCACAGCTTGCTGTATTATTAACACTCTCCCCTCACTTCTCCTCATGCTTGCACCTCTCCTCTCATCTCTCCTTCAAACACCTCTATTCACCACTTTTCCAAACCTTTCACCAGCCTTTGCATTATCAAAATGGACACAAACAAGAAAAAAAATGCATCTCATCATCACCAATACAATGCACAAAGCAATACAGAATTCACCAATTTTGTCATCAAATGCTGTATCCTTCTTTCCTTCCCCTGAGCAAATATCAATATCCATAATGAACCCATTCGCCCAGGATTTATGTTCTGTCCCCTGTAGTTTTTGGTGAATTTTGTTACATACAGATGGCTCCATGTGCTCAGCCGGCAAGGAGTCTACCAGTAGGCCCTAGTTACCGACCCTGATTTTCCCATTCATTGAATTGGTGGGAAAATTAATACCATTGCTATCGATACTGTTATTATTGTTAATGATGTTATGATTATTAAATTGTCATTAGAATATTTTAGATAATGAAATGATACAAAAAACCTTTCCTAAAGTGAAGGAAAAGGGTAAACAGGTAAAATGGGTAGTTCTTGATAACTGGCTATTTGGTGATTTAGAACTTGTGGAGCCATCTATGTGTAAATACAATAAATAAACGTGTATCAAAGTGGGCATGGCATCTATTCTTGCCACGTGGGGCGAATGGGTTACCACCTGCTGCACTCCTGAACTTGCCCCTTTTTATCTCTCCTAATATTAACCAATGCAAATAGAGAACACCTTTTCTTTATTGAAAAATAATACTTTCAAATACCTTCCTCTTCTTGTAATGCCTATTTTCATTTTCCATTTTCTCAAAAATTTATTCATAAACATCGCCAGTGAATTCATACTCCATTTCATCACTATACATTTATACCTTATTAAATTTCTTAATGTCTTCATCCCATATTCTGTGATAACATATCTTAGTTCAGTATAACAGCATTATTCTCTCTGAAAATTGGAACTACAGACTTCTCTTTCCGTAGACTAATCTCTCATTTTATCACATAAAAAACTGACACCAAGAAACTTCAAATAAGAGAACAAAAGAAGTCACTACACTTAAAAGTCAAAAGAATTATTCAAGTGAAAATGATATTTTATACTTCTGTAATCATTATTTGTGAGTTAGAATAAAAACAAAAATAATAATAACTACAGCATACTAGTGAGACGGATAATAATTACAACTCAACTATTAAAAAAAGAAAAAAAGGATAAACCAAAAACAATTTCATTCTCGAACTATGCTGGCCAAGAAATATCTAAATATCATCAATTAAGTTTCAAAAGGTAATCTTCTCTTCATAATCTTCAAATATGTTGCCTTCCTTCCCTTAACTACACTGTGACTACCATTCTTTCATCTCAAACTTCTAACATGCAAAAAAGGATTTTATTAATTCTCACTTACTGATTTATCTACATACCTATCTATAAAAAAAAAATAATAATAATAAATAAATAAATAGATAATAAATCAAATTATTAAAAAAATAAAAAGTTCTAATGCTATCCAAATAACGTAGCATGATGGTGGTGGTTTCATACCTTCCTACATCTAAATACTCCTATTCCTATGATTTAAATAATTATGGAAATGGTCTATTCTAGAAATACAAGGAATAAAATAATCATAACTTTTACCCTAACTAGAGCAGCAAAAGAACAAAGAAAAAAGTCTATGAAACAATGTAGAGGAAACAACAGACAAAAAAATTAACAATAATAATAAGTAAATAAAGAGATACTGACCACTTAGCAGCCACGGCATTTCAAACACAATGATATAGTTAAGGAACCACGGGTAATAATTCTTGAACAGGTTGATCATGTACTGGATAAACTCCATGTCCATGTTCTTCATCCCCGTGTCACACATGTCGAAGAACACCGTTATCCATTCTCCTCCCTCTTCCCTGAAAGAGAATTTTGAAGAATAAGTGAAAAAAGGAACTGCAAAACCAGCAAGAATTTGTACAGTAGGCTTATCTGAAAATGTGAATCAGTATGAGTGTGTGAAAGATCGAGTGTCTCACACAGTGAAATAATAAATGAAGTGAGTAATCAAGTGAGTGAGTGGGAGAGTGGGAGTGAATGAGTGCTTACAAGCCAGCTGTTATAATAAATATTGCATATTATTAAACCTGATAACTGTGACACATCGTATTTGCAGTAGTCTAAGGTGACATTTACAACATTAGCTGAATGGTCTAAGATATAAAAATCAATGTGAATGTAGTTTTCTGTTTAAAAACACACACACACACACACACACACACACACACACACACACACACACACACACACACACACACACACACACACACACACACACACACACACACACACACACACTCTCTCTCTCTCTCTCACTCATTCATTCATTCATTCACTCTTTGGAACTGATTTTCGTCATTCATTACACAATGATGGCTAGAATTCTTAAAGGCATAGTTCTTTTGTCAAACTTATACTGCATGAGTATTGAAACCTTGTATTCTTGTTTTTTGGTCTGTTTGGTGATGTCAATACAAAGTGAAGCCACCAAAAGTGAGGAAGAAAGAACGAAAGGAAAGGTAACCATCATTACAAATACTAAAAGAACCATTATGACACAATAATTCCTTTAGAAGATAATGATCCTACACTTGCATATGCAAAAGACTCTAGTAAAAGGATGCAACATAATCCCAAAGCCTTGAATGGAGAATATATATACATACATACATATATATATATATATATATATATATATATATATATATATATATATATATATATATATATATATATATATATATATATATATATATCCAAGCAGTCCATATATATATATTATATATATATATATATATATATATATATATATATATATATATATATATATATATATATATATATATATATATATAATAACAAATAAATATACAAGTAAATAAATACAGAGTTATATTGAATTGGCAATTACATCTCTTGCATTGTGGAAGGATTGATTCTGATTTATATTTTTTACCATACATTGGTCACAATAAACTCATTCAAAATCCTCTTCCTTTATTTAATCTCTAAAGGCTGGCAAACTACAGAGCATCAAGTAACCAACAAGACAAGAAAACCCTGCATAATTAGCCTCATACATAAATTATTTTTACTCATATTTTTCTACAATATGGATAATTTCTACACTTTTCTGTTGTAAAGCCTATACTATCTTTCATAACTTGGGACAGCAATATCCTATTTCATCCATTGAAGGGGTGCAACAGTTTTCAAACATGGGCTTAAAATTTTCATATATATAGGAGAAATCCTTCCCAACATGTATTTTGTGGTGTTCATCAAAATTTATATGTCTACATGAGATTATATCATCTACAATCCAGATGACATAACCCTTATATCATGATGAAATTTGGAGTGATGGGCAGGTGACGTGAGTATATTATCACGGGAAAAATTGGCTTTGGGCCTGGATGGTACAAACTTGCCAATGTGAGAAATTCCGCTGAAGGCTGGGGTTACAAGAAACACTTGCCACAAATGTAAAAACCTCCTGGAGAGTGTTTAGGCTCATTTGGCAATTATTTACATCAAAACGAGTGTGGACTGTAGTGTCCATGAGTCATAACTGGAAGGCGTCAGCTATAGGAAGAACACTGTTTCCATGGTTAGGATCCTATTCCTGCCTGTTGTGACTGGCAGCACAGGTTGTTACAGAAAATTTAATATTACAAAAATATATACAAAATGAAATAAATAACAAAATGTTACTTATTGTTATTATTATTGCACTGAGTTATGGACTACCTAAAGAAATGATATGGAATATATGCAAAGAAACCAGTCTATTATAATTTAGGTAAAGCAAATCAAATGACAAATATAGACATAAGAAAATGGCAAATAAACTAAAAATGCTTATACAGGAAAAGATCAAATAACATTGCAAAGGGAGGCATGGAGTCTTGCCACTGCACACAAGTGTTCATGTGCTCCTGGCCTATAAGTCGAAGACCTGTCAGAGTGGCCACTCAACATAAGCCTAGTGCCCATATTTTGGGTCACGTGATAGCGGTGAAGTATCTGGATCTAATGGGTTAAGGGTGTTACAACATCTTTTTTATCCTTTGTGAGTGTATTATATTCATCAAGGGCAATGAAATTAACATGAGAAAGTCTTAAACCACAGAGAAACAACACATGAAAAATAATGCCAGAAGAAAGCCAAAATATTCATGTCCTGTAACAAGTGCTCCGTGAAGTAGTCTCTGTTTTATAAATAGTAGTTGTTGAAATATTTTGATGATTATATCACAGCATTGGCTCTATCTGTTAATACATACAAAGTGTGAAAATCTTTAAGTCAAACCCTTGCTGACAAATAGCAAATACATACATGCTTTGGCATGACTGGACTCTTTTCAGGGTAGCATGTACACCCATATCACATATGCAGAGCATTTTCTAGTGCTTTAGGAGTTAAAGCTTCCAAAGAAAGCCTCATTCACTGGCCAAGTGTGTATACTGCAGCCAAAGTCATGAAAATCACGTTTCCTATGCTTCTGATTTTTTCCTTGAGCAACT